GTTAACGGGCTCGTCACCGGGCGGCGGCGGAGTCGCCGGCGGGGAGGGTGACGTCCCTTCGCCGCCCAAGTCAGAAATGGGGTCATGCCAAATAAGGCAAGCTCATGAATATTAATATTCCTGGGGTCGTAGAGTAGAAGATGCGAGGTTATACGGCAGGGGTAAGGGGTGGAGAAGGAATTCGGAGCCGCTGCCCCTGCCATGGGAGGATGCGCAATGCAGGCTCTTCCCCCTCCCTCCTGAAAGAAGTGTGGTATAGTCCATTTCACATAAGGCAGCTGTCGCAGGAGACGGCAGGTGGCGGCTGTAGGGAAGTGTTTTGTACGAAGGCCCACGACGACATGCGTTACACCTTTTCCACAGCCCTGCCACACCGCGCTGCACCGGGGCCCTCCAACCGCTCCTACTATAAGTTAACGGAAGGCCCCTTATAGTGGACGACAGATTGTGTTCTAGATGTCTGCTTCAGTTGTTTTGTGTAAGCAAATAATTAAACATTTCTTGTTCAATTCAACTTGGCTAATAGTAATGTTTTACATGTTTATGTGAGACTGACTTGTCTGGAGCATCAAATTATGGAAAACATATCAAACATTCTCTGATTATTTCTAAATGCTTGTCCCTTACATACATGTATATGTAGCTATATAGGAGGCATGTTATTATTGTGTTGGAAGTTGACGGTCTGACTAAACATGTTAAGGCATTTTGTTTAAATAATTTGGGGAAGTTGTATACATTGTACCTATCAGCTTTGAGTAAGGCCACGCCTCCTTAATTTTTGGATGACATCCTCTGAAGCCCCCCAAACTAGTGCGCGCGGGCGAATAAAAAAATTCCGGGCAAAAATAAAAATGCTGCAAAACTACAGGAATACAAAGCTGGTATTGTGATTTAGCGACAGTACTTAGCGACGTATACGACAAGCGCTAGCCGGCACATACTGGCTTTTTGCGCAATTGCGGAATTTATGAATCGGCACTGTACGTATGTACTGAGTTCTTGAGTCGTGGAGCTTCGCAGCCTGGGTGCCCGGCTCCGTATTGTCGCTAAATATCATGGACTACCCAGGCCTAGAGCCAGGCCAGAGCCTCGGCGGACATGATCTTTTTTTGTTTTGACAACAGGTGAAAATCAATGCGCGCGCGGATGTCATCCATAAAATTAAATCGGCGTGGCCTAATGGTATGTGCATGCTGAGACCAAGAAAGTTGGTTGTTAAGGGTAACACCTACTTTATGATTGCTTCTGTCTACTAAGATGTGATTTCTTAATTTGTAGTTGAAGTGTTTAGGCTTGTCTTTGTGCATGATTTTCCTGCAAATATCACGATCACGATCATCAGCAAAAGGCGGGAATTGTTGGAATCAAGATCGGTCGGGTTTTGTGTGTGGCGAGAAAAAATTGGTTAAAGGCACTTAAGTATAAAATCATTTTGAGCTAAAAAAATTGTTGTCAGTAGAGTAGCATGAATGCAATCCTTCCTTTGTTTAACATGTTGAAGGCCATGTTTCCACCACGTTATTGTGTGAATTGTTTAGTTATTGGATAGCGCCACAAAATTCAATCTCTATATAGAAGTAAAATCAGCGGATGTGAGAAAAAAAAACTTTTAGTTTAATTAGAGGACTTTTGAATTTTTACATCACATGATTTAACTATTAGTAAGTCGACGTCATTACCTGACGTATCGTTCAGCGTTTGTGACTGAGAGTGTTTGTGATTTAATAGCAGGACTGTCAACACAACAAAACAGAGGACAAGTTTGATTGTGAGTCTCCTGTCGGCTTTCTGTGGTACTGCAACGGAACTTCTGTTTTGGTAACTAGCTTGAGTTCTCAGCTTGCAATAAAACTATTTTAAAGGTAGGGTGTTTTCTGGCTGCTGAATAGCGGTTGTTGCAAGTTATTTTGCTGTTGTAAAGATAGCAGTTTAAAAAAATCTTCGGAAAATCTCTGGGAAAAGCGTGAAATGTCTACTTTTCAGTTTTTATAGAATGATGCAATGATGCATGTCGCATCCCTAGCCTATCCCTCTTTTACAGATACTTTCACGGTCGATGTTCAGGAGAACTTGCACTTCTTGTTCCGCCGCTCAGAACCTTTCAGCGTGCCACTAGGTTCTCTTCCAGTTCTCATCAATACACCGTTAACATACCTGTCTCAAAATCATTTTACAACAACAGCTTCTTCCCCTGGACTGCAAAATTATGGAACTCTCTTCCAAACAGCTGCTTTCCGTCCGAATATAATCCACAAAGCTTCAAAGCAAAGGTCCACCGCCATCTCCTGACATAACTACATTATACTCACTTTATATAATAAGTACCTCTAGCTCTATGCCTAGAAGTGGCCAAAAATAATCGGCCTTGCATTGAGCGATACCGTTAAAAAAGCCGAACAGAAACGCGCGCGTTCAAACTGTTCCTATCACCACATAGTAATGATACACGCACATGTATCTCCCATGTACTGGCTATCCTGTCGAGAGATGGGTGGGATATTCGTTGCATTTCTCATACCAGCCGTGCCCCCGGCTGATCCCTGCCTGTAGGAGATAACATTCCGGGGTAGGAACACTTGTCCACCGCGGGATCCAGACGCGCACATCACATGCTCTTCCACTGACAAAAAATACTAGCAGGCCAGTCGACCCAGTCATTCTGAAAAATTCACTCACTTCCAAACATGGGAGGGTGCGCCCTCCAGCACACGATGAAATATCATCAGCTCTGTTATTGTACCCCAATAATGGCAGGCAGACATGTCAAACCCTTCCCCACAAGCCAGATCTATTTAAGGAAATACAACTTATAGAAAACTTTGCGATTGATCAATGCGTGTTTCCAGACATTAACTTGATGTGAAAGAAAGAACATGTGGACTGGAGTTTGTTGCCGCTCACACCGCTTTCCTCCTCAGCCATTGATGGAGACTAACATTCAGGCATATCGGGTTATTTCCGAACTCAAATGGTTAGATATGCACAGAGATCATATATTTTTAGATAGACGAGACCACATTTCCGGAGGGAAGATAATATATACATTATGATTTACTAATTTCTTATAGACTGGAAAAGGTGTATCGTTATTTTCAGTTTGTCTTTTAATTATTGAACAGAAACCATGTTTGTCCTGCCCCGTGCTTGGTTATTGGTAAGGTGGTGAATAAGGGTTCCTCACGCCATAGTTCCTAGCCTGTCCCTCCCCCAGAGTCACTTGTAAATCCATTCTAGATTTCCGAAAACTGCCGAGAGCCGACCCCGCCCCTCGTGGCCAGGCGTCCCGGCATTCCTCTGGGGTGAAGTAAAGTTTGTGATCGGCGGGGGTCTGGAGGAGAGGATGACATTTAAATAGATCGTCACTGCCAACCAAGGACACTCTAGTACAGGACCCATTAGTCACAGCTAGGACTTAAGTCTGGTGTAATATTCTTCACGGGAGGAGACTTCAAGAAAATCTCCAGTATGAGCTGGCAGCAGTATGTCGATCAACATTTGGTGGCGACTCAGTGCGTCACCATGGCGGCGATTTGTGGCCTGGACGGCAGCATTTGGGCCAAATCCAGCGGGCTGGAGGTAGATTGAATTCAGTGTCTGTTTTATCGCACGTAGAATTTCACTGTTGTCTAATCTGAGCTTAAACTACGCGGCAAAGACAGAACTCATGTGTTGTGACCCAGTGTAGATTTATTTAGTGTCCGCGAAATTCCGTGTCGCAGTTCTGTGTCCGCTCCGAGACGTTTATAGTCATGTCGCCATGTCCGCGACCACGTGGTCCCCATGCCGGCATTCAATATCAACTCTCAACAGTCCCGTCACTTCAGGACGTCACAAAAATATTAGCATCTGTCTCCAGACCAAGTACGAATGTGATAACGGCAAGGACTTAGCGAGTATAGTGCTTTGTCTGGAAGTTTTGTATGGCCTCATTGACAACAGCCGTCCCAGTGGCGCAGCTATGGTGTTGATCTGCACCTGTTCCTACTGATCTGTACTCTCCAAGCAGAGGTTTAGGGTTCGGCTTATTTTTGGCGTGTTTTAGGCGTTTCTGTGTTTTAGGGCTTTCGTATATAGACAGTTTTATTTCAATTTGGCTGGCGTAATGAAAAATACCAATAAAAGGTCAATAAAATGTCCCAGAACATGTCAAAATAAGTCCAAGCCTAAACCTCTGCATCAGGCTTGGTGAGTAACTGATCCGGACGTTCCTCTATCATCGGCCATGCAGCCGGGATGAATCATTGGAAGCCGCGCCAAGCTTATAAAACTATCGCATGACGATTTGGCGTATTCCGGTGGGGTCTTCTGCCTAAAACGTCAAATCAAACCCTACTAGTAGGTCTACCGATTACACAGTGGAACGGTCAGTAGTTCCCGCTAGATAGTTCCCTACAAACAGTTGACATACATACATACATTTACCGGTGAAGTGAAAAACGTCATTCAGCCATTGTCACACAGTCTGAGATTAGACAGTCTTTTTCTCGACTACTTGTACTTTGAAACTTTGGCACAAGAAGCGGGAACTCTAGAAGAACCAGTCAGAAACTTTTTTGTGTTTCAATATTCGCCAGTTTCTTGCCTTTTCTTATTCTAACTCGTATAGCCAAGGTCAATCTCTAACAAGGCTCGAAAGCCGTTGAATACACACCAGATAATCAAATAGCGTACGGAGCGAGATGAGTAGTAAAGGAAGAATTATTCATAACAGCTGGTAGGACATATTTTCATAGCTGTCGAGTCTCAGACGAAGGAACTACAATAAAACAACATATAATAACTAGAGTTCCACGATCTCATACCCTCGCACGGCCTTACAACTGACGAATTATAAATGTTTCTCAGTGATTATGCAAATAAGATCCTCATTTGCGTGAATTATGTCCGTTGATCATATTCTCTACTCAATGACATTTTTATGTCAACAAATTTCCTGCTAGGGAATTATAGCTATTACTGACCAATTATTCAAATTAGGGCTCAGTTTACATAATCTATGTCTGCCGATGTTCGCCTCGTTCTAGGCTGTATGATAATAACGTTAATGCCCCGCCTTATCCTCGGTGTATATGGTGAGATATAATCCCTGGTCAAGTGCGATAACCATCGAATAAACCACCTCGTTCACTGCGTGTGTGTATCACGATAACTCGAGAAGGCTTTAGATGTATTGATACTCGGTAGGTGGGTAGGTCTTATTCTTGTTGAAGTGCGGCGTGTTATAATACTGCAGCGGAACGTCTAGTTTTGATATCACGTAATCTGGACATAGGGTCATGAATTTCGGACTTCAGGTAGTTTTCGTGCTTGGGAAGAAGTGACCCCACAGCAGTTCGTTGAAAAATATGTAAGTATAACTCAAGAACCGGTCGATAGATCGTCGTGATTTTCAGTATGTAGGTCTTGCTTGGACATACAAGATGGCAATTATATAAACCAGGATCTAATTTGCGTAATTATTGAAGAA